GGGCTCTGCCATAATTCCACATTAGCCAACAGTTTTTCCATGCTAGAGCTAGAAGTGTTGTGTAAGCCCAATCTATATGAGAACCTTTTTTAACATTTTCTAATGGTGGTGTGCCTCGTGATTTTTTTCATGAAAAAAGTGTGCCTTTGCACAAAAAAGGTTGAAAAACACTGTTATAGAATACCAAGCAATATTTTGGCTTGAAGAATTTGACTAAATTATTAGAGTCTACTTGAAAAAATATCATGACAATATTTCATAATTATTACCTAAGCCATACAAGAGTTTATTTAAAATTTCAAATGAAACTTTTTCCTAAGCATATTCAGAACAGTATTTTCCTTTCATCAATGCTTAATGAATCTGCCAAATATTTTCAAATACCTTGCTAAGAATTATTTCAGGTGCCAAATATTCTGGAGTTCCACATAACGTCCAGGTTCTTCCTTTTACTCTTTTTGCAAACCCGAAATCTGTGACCTAGGAAAACAGAAAGAATTATATTTCTCAAGATTTATTAAAAATTAAAATAAAACCAAATTAATGATAATAATATACATAGGCATCAAGAGGTATCTAATCACAGAAACAGGGGGTTTTTTGTATGTCATAATGGAAACAAAAGAATAGTAGTTTTAGGTGTATCTTTTTAATCAAACAAGGCATGATAGATAACCAATTAATTCTTAGAAGCATTAAAAAGAAGTAAATAACCCAAAAGTATAATTCTCAGATATGCTATATTCAACACCACATAATGTCTATAACATCATTAAGCTTTTGATTTTAAAAAGCAGAAAGTTTTTCCAGGGCTGGGGAATCAGTTTTGGAATCCCAAAATATTTGGCTGGATATTTTTTGCGGGGTAGGGGTACTATGAAAAGGTGAAAAAGGTGATTGACACACCCATTTTCCCCTAGCGCTAAATAACAGTAGCGACAAACATAAACTGAAGGTTTTCAATTATATAAGTTGTTGTGCCTCCTGCATCACTTGAATGCTGAAAGAATAAAACTGAAAGTATTGCCCCATTCTTAACATAAACCAATTTGGATCAAATTCAGCATTTATTTTCTCCTGTTTTCTCCAATATATATTTTAATTGATTAAACTGATTTTTAAAAAACTGATTTCAAAATACTCTTACAAAATACCTTAAAAAATACTCTTTAAGTACTTACAACATCTTGCTATAGATAACAAAATATTCATATCTATAAATCTTTGTATCATACCTGAATATATCCTTGTTGATCAATTAAAAGATTTTCAGGTTTTAGATCTCTGTAGATGAGGTCTAATGAATGGAGGTACTCAAATGTTAGTACTATCTGAGCTGCATAAAATCGTGCATGTGGTTCACTGTAATCAATGAAAATATTAAGTTGTTAAAACTAGTACTTTTACTCAGAAGTACCGTCATTATCTTGCAACTACAGCGGATGATACTCATACAAAAATCTATGAACTGGTAGAAATATATCAGAAAATGTATGTTCTGTTCTACTATGACTGCAGAATGAATTCAAAAATACATATATAATACAGGTTGTCCTTATTTAGCAACCACAATTGGGATTGACAACTCAGTCACTAAGTGAAGCAGTTGCTAAGTCGCAAATCATATGACCATAATTTTGTTTTCCAGCTCTAAACTGACAAGAGTAATCAGTTTCATACCTTCTGCTTTTCTTTGCCTCCTAGCCAGTCCCCCACCCTTTGGATTGGTCACCCCAGGCTGGATAATTAATAAAAAATGTATTAATTTTTGCATTTGGAGAGAAAGTGATCAAAGGAGAGTAATCACAGCAAAAGCTGAAAACAGTCGTCCTTACTGTGCCTGTTTACTATACTAATTTCTAATCCCATCGTCTCAAATCTCTGCTCTGCAAGGGAGGAGAGTTCAGCTAGGAGAGATTGTCTACAGAAATTTCTTGGTGGGAACCTTTTTTTCTGGAAAGAGGGGCTCTGGTAGTCATGTTGGGGGGGGGGGTAGAAGGGCATGGAAGAACCAACGTGTCCTGGGCATCGAAAGGGTGGAGTGAAAGTAGATGCGCATTTCCTCTATCTTTTTGTAATGGAGTGTGTCAGTGACCTTGGGGCTAGTGGGGAATAGATGCTGTCCAGGAAACCATAAAGCAAGAGAGGCAGGAGCCCTCAATGGTTTAGTCAGAGAAACAAAACTTAGGAAGGGGCCACCCTAATGAATCAAACAATTAAAAGCAGCAATGAAAGTTTGTACTTTCAAACTTGGATGATTCTGTTAATGTAACCTTAAATAACGTACAATTAATCTAGTTTTGTTTCCTGTCTGGTTCATCTGGGACGGCTGAAACTTCAGGCAGGGGTGATGTATTTGGACAGGAGGGAATTGGCAAGGGGACATGGGGGCTCCCAATTTGTGCATACTAGTCCAATATGGGTGCTGGAAGGTAGAGGAGGAAGTGAAGGAGTTCTCTGAGAGCTTGTTGCATGCAGCCCCCAACTGGAGCACTATGGTGAGGTGGCTTTCCTCATCTGCTACTCCCATCCAGAATTTGTTTGTTGATAGAGACCAGGCATCCCTAGAAAGACGCCATCAATTCCTGTGCATCTCTTCCTGGCTGGTCCTGGATCTGAAAGGACCCAAAGGGACGCCTTCTCAGTCACATTTGATGTTCCATGACTGAAGTCTCTGCCCCAGCATGCTTGCAAAGAGAAGATGTCTGCAGGCTGTTTGCCAACTGTCCTTAGATTGTTGCCAGTTTGGGACCTCAGGCAACCTTTTCCATTTTGATGGGAGCTGCAGAGGAAAGCTAACTGGCATGAGGTCTCCTTGTGGTTGCTGCTCAACTAGGAGGAAAAGTTTAACTGACTGAAAGGAAGGGACTGCAAAGGAACCAGATTTGTTAAGTATCTGCAGAGCTGCCTTTCTCTCTGGGTAGCATCACCTGGTTTTGGGTGATGTCCATCTATCCCCTAACAGGGCAATGTGTCACAAGAAGCCTTGGATCAGAAGCAAATAAGCTGGGACACAATGGGGATTACAATGGCTGTTTCCCAAACAGCTGCCCGTGACCCGTCAAAAGCGCGGACGGCAAAAGCGCGATCGACAAAATCGCGCCTTTGACGTCATCACAGCGCGACGAA